ATCAATGTCCATTTTTCACATTATGAATTGGAAAAAACCTTAAATTTCATATGGAACCAAAACTCAGCCTGAATAGCCAAAGCAAGCTTAACAAAAAGACCAATCTGAAGCATTACATTACTGACTTCCAATATACTACAAGGTTATAGCAACCAGAACAGCATAGTACTTACTGGCATAAAAAGTAGACACATACATCAGTGGACAGATAGAGAACCCAGAACTAGACCATTCACCTACAACAAGCTGATCTTTGACAGCAGAGAAAAACGTACACTATTCAACAAATGGTGCTAAAAAATTAGAGAGCTACAGCGAGAGAATGAAACTGATCCCTATCTCCTTGCCATACACAAATTAACTCAAGATGGATTAAAGACTTAAATGTGAGAAGCTTGACACCATATAAAAATTAAGAAGATGACTTAGAAATTCTTCTAGACATTGGCCTGGGCAAAGAATTTATGAATAGACTCAAAGGCACATAGAATAAAAAAAAATAAATGGGGTAATTAAACTAAAACGTTCTGCATAGCTAAAGAAATACTCCAAATAGAGTAAATAGAAACCTAAAGAATGGAAAATATCCTGACACACCTATATACCACAAAGATACTACCAGACTATACAGGAACTAAAAAATCAGCAAGAAAAAAGCCCCATTAAAAAACGGCCAAATTAACATGAAAAACATTTGTTCTAGGAAGAGATATAATGCAACAACATTGAAATGTTCAACATCCTAACATCAGGGAAGCACATTAACCCACAATGAATACCCACGTTACCCCATGTCAGAAAGGCCATTATTAACAAGCACCGAGATATATTCTCCAGAAACGGTATTAACTGAGTAGCACCTAAGTGGACACATAGGTACTACAGTAAATAGGTATTGGCAAGTGGGAGGGGGAGGGGGGAGGGGTGGGTATATACATACATACATAATAAGTGAGATGTGCACCATCTGGGGTGGTCATGATGGAGAACTCAGCTTTTGGGAGGGGGGGAATGGCATTATTGAAACCTTAAATCGTACCCCATAATATGCAAAATAAAAAAAAAATTAAAAAAAAAAAGTCAAAAGTGAGTATATTGGTCAGATGCAGTGAAAAGGGAGTGCTCATTCACTGTTGGTGGGAATGTACAACCATCATGGAAAACAGTATGGAGATTCCTCAAAGAACTAAAGTAATCTACATTGATCCAGCTATCCCACGTACGGGGCACCCTACCCAAGGAGATCAAAAGACAAATGCACTCATATTTATTGCAGCATAATTCACATTGCATACATATGAATCAAACTAAGTGTCCATGGACTGATAAGTGATAATGAAATATGAGATTATATACTATATATATATAATATAATATATATATAAATTAAATCCTACTCCAGCTTAAAAAGAATAATAATTTTGCAGCAACTTGGATGAACTAGAACCATAATCCTAAGTTGAAATACTGCAAGGACTCCACTTAATAAGTGGGAGTTAAATGATGGTACACAGGGGTCACACAGAATGGTATAGGACTGGAGACTCAGAATGGGGGAGGTTGGGAGGATGGAGAGGGATCAAAAGCTACCTATCTGTACAACGGTACCATTTGGGTGACTGTACACTAAAAGCCCTGACTTCACCACTATAAAATTCATCCATGTAACATAAAACCCACTTATTCCCCTAAATCTACTTAAATAAAAAATGAAAAAGAGCAAGATAAATCATTATAATAAAAACCGCCGGGTGCGGTGCACCCTGTAATCCGGAAACTCCTGGGAGCCGAGCAGCAGATTGCTCTAGGTCAGGAGTTCGAACCAGCCTGACAAGAGCGAGACCCCATCTCTACTATATAATAGAAAGAAATTAATGCCAACTAATATATTAAAAAAAAAACCGGCATTGGTGGCACATGCCTGTAGTCCCAGCTCCTGGGGAGCTGAGGCAGGAGGATTATTGAGCCCAGGAGTTTGAGGTTGCTATGAGCTAGGCTGCTGCCACGGCACTCACCTCTAGCCTGGGCAACAAATGAGACTCTGTCCCCAAAAAAAAAAAAAAAAAAAAAAAATACAAAGAGACACCTCAAGATACCAGCACTAAAGAGATTTCTAGAAGATAGTCCCCAGGGTGAAGAGAAATGTCCCCAAAGACACGTTGTTGGTTGTTGAGAGAGATCTTCTTCCTCTTCTTTTTTTTTTTTTTGTTGTTTTTAGAAAAAGAACTATCTGTGTTTACTTTTTCTATCGAATAGTAAATTTAATCGTGTGATAAGAGTTTAATGCAGTAGAAAAGAACAAAAGACTGCAAGTT